AGTAACCATGGAGACCATAGTGGAGATTATTCCACCCCACCGTGGGCAGATTATATCTGTAGACAGTAAGAAGGAAATAACAAATGGGAGCGAGGTCCAGCTACAGCCCCATTGGTTACACCAGTTATTTGTCTTATTTGAACATGTCTTGAGCAGAAAATTGCTTGTGACTGACTGCAACACAGCTACTTGTCGCAAGTAGAGATTATCCTGTTGGTATATCACATTAAGTTCACTATACCACCTGGTATAGTTCAACCTGGCAATTGAAATCACATGCATTGCCATGAGGTGGTGGCACACGCCTTTGATCCCAGCACTCGGGAGGCAGAAGCAGGCAGATCTCTGAGGCCGGCCTGGTCTACGGAGTGAGTTAGAGAACACAGAGAAACCTTGTCTCAAGAAAACCAAACCAAGAAAGAAAGAAAATACCCATATTTCCAAATATGCTTCTCTGAATTTAGAAACCATTTCAGATGAATATTTGTCACAACTATATGCATTTAGAAAGCATCAGTACACATTCATAAAACTTTCATTTGTCCTGTAGACAACATTGGTGCACAGTGAGCATCCAGTGTCCTACAGATCTGAGGTGGGCAGCATGGATAGAAAGGGCACAGTTTAGAAAGAAGGGTAGTATTTTGCTTATACCAATAGTGGACCCAGAAAGTACATTTTTTTTTCTGGTTTTTTGAGACAGGGTATTGTTTTGGAGCCTGCCCTGGAACTAGCTCTGTAGACCAGGCGGGCCTTGAACTCAGAGATCCTCCTGCCTCTGCCTCCAGAGTGATGGGATTAAAGGCGTGTGCCACCAATGCCTTTTTTTAAAACCAAGGAATTGCTTAAATTCTTAAAATTCTTTAACAAGAGGCAAACAGAATAAGGAAGAGTATAGTGACAGAATCTTTGAAGGGTAAAACGTGGGGCGGGTGGAGGACCAGACCAATGAAATCTTATTCTGGTGCCAGACTTGGCAGTGTACTCAAGCTGGCACCCTTCGGTCCTTTGACAGGGAGACAGTGATACTGAGGGACTCAGCCCCGAGATAAGAGGAAGGGCGGGTGAGTAGGAAGACGATGAGTGAACCAAGACAGCCTGTTCTGTGCGAGCCATGAACACAGCGGTGGGGAGAGGGTGTAATCCTCACACCTAAATAGCAACCTAAACTCACGAGTGCAAACCCGTCATCACGCAAGGCTGTGAACAGCATCCCTGGTTTTAATCTCATCTGTATTCCATCTGCCTAAGGTAAGGGTTTGTCCCTAAGCAGGCAGAGGCAACTATTAGGTATAGGAAATTAAAAGGTACAGCAGAGGCAAACTAAAATTAGTGAGTCTAGGCTGTTTGATGCCACTTCATCCCCTACTCTATGACCTTGCTAGGAGAGCGTAGACTGCAAACCATTACCTAACTCGGTCTTTAACCAGTGTTTAATCATAAACTAGCCCTGCTACATTATTAATATTCCAAACAACATTTCCACTTAGATAACCCACCTGATATCATTCTGTGGCATTACCTTAAAGGGCACTGGCCCTACATTTGTTCTCACTGCAAAATTAATCCCCGGGTGGACGAACCTGTCTAGTGTACTTATTTTTCTTAAGATTCTAAATATAATTTAAAGTGGAGTGAAAGGGAAATCAATAAAAATGACAGTAGTCTTTACATCTCACCTGCTCCGTAACTGCCCCCCCCAAAAAATGAACTTTAATAACTTTAACTTTGGTTGTAAGAATAACACATCACTTTTGTATTTGTAGTTACAGATGGAGAATGGAAATGGGAAGTACACACTGGCATGGAGTCCAGTCCATCGTTTAAAGGTTTACAAGGTTATTGGACTTTCCTGACCTCGGGATAGTCAAAACTGCAGCTGAAGAGGTAAAGTGAAAAAAAATTAAGATAGGAGAGAAGGCCCAGTCCCTACTCTAAAGGACTCCACAGATTTTGTTGATCCCTCCTGGAAGGCATCACCCTCCCTGTGGAATAAGGGGAGGGGGTGGGATGGGAGAGGGGACATGGGAGGGAGAGAACTGGGATTGATATGTAAAATAAGAAAAAATTAATAATAATAAAAAAGAAAGTGCAGTTATATATAAAACCCTAGGTGAAGATAAAGACAGCAGGCCATACTCTGTTATAGTACATGTACATACATGTATACATGACATGCATGAATCAGAAGCTTATGTATAGAAAACCAACAGAAAGAGCAAAGCAACAGGAGACCTTTATGCCACTCTCCTGTTCATGTTCCAAAGGGATTTACAGGCACTTTATCTTCAAACTAGGTTGTGACGATGAGAGAGTCCAACATTCTGTTTCTTTGGGCCAAAGAGCATTTGAAATGCGTGTTTCAACTGTAAATAAAATACTAACAGGAGAACCAATGAGCATCAATTCAAATGCCCAGAGTACTCCTAAAGAACAGTTCACAAATTTTTAAGGAGGGGCCTGGTAGTATTGATGCACGTCTTTAATCCCAGCACTCGGGAGGAAGAGGCAGGTGGATCTCTGTGAGTTCCAGGCCAGCCTGGACTACAGAGCAAGTTCCCAGACAGCCAGGGACATGCAGAGAAACCCTGTCTTAGAAAACAAACAAAAACAAATTTTTAAGTAAAAGTATGAGAACAGACATGATGGTGCATGCCAGCACTCTAGAGCCAGAATAGGTGATCTGCATATGTTCAAAACCAGCCTGGTCTACATATCCAATTCTAGGCCATAATAACACCCTGTCTCAAAAAAAAAAAAAAAATTTAAATATCCTTAACAAACATTTAACAGTAGCCCAACTGGTGTGTGAGGGAAAAGCATTTAATTTTAATTTCCCTATATTAAAGGGATCTGACAGTAACTCTAGAAACACTGTGCTCTTCATGAATAAGGAACCAAGCTGCCAAATTACTGCTGCTAAGCCTTTCCACAGTCTGGGATAGAGGGGGAGGATGGGTGAACTCACACAACGATTATCTTTTGTACATTACCACTTGCCAGATGTTCACAGGATGCAAATCTTTCCTAAGATCTAGACAGTAAGCACCGGTGTGAAACGATCTATACCCATAGTTCCAGAAACAAGTATAAGCCTTGCAAAGACCAACACCACCTAGGAGTTGTGAATGACCAAAGAGTGCCAATGCCACCCAAGGAGCCATGTATGACTGAAAATACCTCAGCATCCTTCCCATTCCCCCTCCCTCCATCCTCCACACTCAAATGGAAAAAGAGAATGGCGAGTTTAACTTGCTTTCTGAAACTGCACAGAGCAAACGCCACTAATGGAAAATTACAGGTGAAGCCTTGACTTCTCCAGGTTTATGAATGGGCAAAGTTATTTCTCCTAACTACATTGCTGGGATTTTTCCACTCTCATTTCAATTCTGAGTACAGTGTTTATAACTTCTCCCAGTCACCCATGCCCTCTCTCACATCTTTCTAAGTCACCTTGAGACAGCTCAAAGTTTCAGCCCATAAAGGGAACTGCAAAGCTAACTCCTGAGACATCACTACCATCCAGAAAGCAGTGCTATCACATCTCATGTCCTCTTACTGAAAAGTAGAATTGTGACGTTCAGCAGTTATTTTCCCAATAAACACTTGTTGTTTTTTCATTTGTCTGTATGTGTGCCTGTGCATGTGTGTGCATTTGTTAGAAAATAAAAGTCAATGTCAGGATTTTTCCTCAGTCTCTTCTTGACCTTTTGTTTAAACACCCCCCCATCCCCCCTCCAACATACAGTGTCTCTCACTGAAGCTAGAGCTTACCACTTTGGCCATTTGGCGGGAAAGTTGCATAGGGTATCTCTCTCTGCAGCCTTCTCTGCCTTGGGTTTGCAGTGGCTTTTTGCATGAGTGCAGGGGATTCTAACTTGGGGTCGCAAGTTAGTAAGTTAGTAAAACTGAGACCTAGTAAGCCACCTTCCTAGCCCTAGAAAAAAATTACTAAAAAGTCTTGGTAGTATTGCTTTTCTCGGGGATTCTTTAAGCCTAACTTGAAATCTTAAATATAATGAGGGGCTGGGGTGTGATTAAGAGGTAGGGCTCCTATCAAGCTGGGCGGTGGTGGCACAGGCCGTGGGAGGCAGAGGCGGGCAGATCTCTATGAGTTTGAGGCCAACCTGTTCTACAGAAAAACCCTATCTCGAAAAACAAAACAAACAAACAAATGTAGAGCTCTTGTCAAGTATGCCCAGGGCCCTCAATTAAAGTCCTAGCTATTGGATGAAGCAGCATGTGGCACGAATAACTCCAAAATTACTTCAATGCTGGCGTAGGAAACAACTTTATAACAAGTTATTCCGATTCTCACGTTTGGAAGGATTCTTTTGACCTATCCTAAAAGATATCTCAGAGTGGTGGGTTGCAACTCAGTGCTAGAGCACAGGAGTGGCCTTTCAATCACAACCATGCATGTACTCACCGCCACACAACTTGTCAACCCCAGAATAAAATAGCCCGGGGCCCAAAGGCAACGATGATGGGACTAACTCTCCTTGTCTATGAGGCACAGGATATTTGTCTGTAAGAGCCTAGGATATTTTACTTTTTCAACTCCAGAAGGGATGAAGGTTAGAGAGGGGTAGCAGCACCCAACTCCCTAAGCTCACACTCTTAACTGAATACACTGGCTACCCGGGTGCTTGTCAGCAATCAGCATCCCAAAGAAACGCAATCAAAGACCCCTGCCTGGCTCTGCGCCTAACTTTCTGGGAAGTGCCCTCACCGAGACAGAGTCTGAGGAAGCTGGACCTGGACTGGTCCTCTGGGATGCGCGGCACCAAAACCTACTGGGCGAGCTCTGGGAGTTCTGCAAGGAATCCCAAGGAAGGCTAGGCATCAGGGGATTGGAACGGGAGAATTTGCACGGTCCCCCAAACTGCTTCTTTACTCAGGTTAGGTCACCGGACATATTTCCTGGGAACCCGGTCACTAAAAGACTCCAGACCGGGAGGGCGCAAATTCATCTGCAAAGAGCTGTAAAAGACACTCACCTCCACCCATCTCTGAGCCTCTGCGAATGCAATCGAGCAATCGGCCTCGGCGTCCTCCATCCCTTCCATGACTAGGGCAAGAGAGGGAGAAAGCAACTAAGTGGGTGCGCTCCGGGACCCAGACTCCCACGCGTCCCTCTCCCTTTGTTGCGACGTGCAGTTTAAATTCAGGACCCTAGCAGAACTTTCAGGCGTTGCTTTCTCAAGAAACTCCTGAAATCGGCTCTAATCCAGCAGGACCGGAGCAGCCGGGGGACGTGAAGAAGCTGACTAGAAGCGGTGCGCAGCGGGAGCCTGGACTCCTGGGAACTTCAAAAGTCGCAAGCTCGGTCGCCGCCCTCAGCAGTGGCCCCGCCCCAGCCCACCCACTGCGGGCGGGTTCCAGCTTCCGTCCGTGCTCCTCTTCGGGGTCTTTGCTGCCACCTCTCTAGTCAGACTATTTGGGCGGGAGATGCCCCCCCAGCCCGCATCCTCCCCGCCTCTGCCAGCCTGCCCTGTCTCAGGCCCTCGGGAGGCGGTGCCCCTACAGCCTGCGGCCTGACATACCAGGAATAGCTGCACACAATTGCACCTTTCCGGGCCAAGAAACTTCCCCCGCGGGGACGCGGAGCCGCCTGGCCTCGCAGCCACTGCCCTCCGGCTCCACAGGGACCGCTCACCCGTCCCTGATGCTTCGCAGGCCCCGCGACCTCCCGCGCTTCCGGCCGCAGGTGAGGGGACCGGCTTGGGCACTCGGACCGGTCCCCTAGCCTGGGCTGGCTCCACCCCGCCCGGACTGCAGGTGGGTCGGGAGGGAGAGACCCGCCTCCTCACTTTCACCCTCTCTCGCGCCACAAGAGGGGAGCCTCAGAAAGATCGTGGCTTTTCACCCGCCTCGACGCCACCATCCCCCCTCCCGCCAGCTCTGGACATTGGACCGCCTTCACCCGGAGTTTAAGTTTAGTCAAAACCCTGACCCTCTGTGGAGTGTCACCGTCCCCGGTGAGGCCTGACTGAGTAGGGAGGTGCACCGGGCCAGACCAGCAAGGTGCACAGGTGGCCCAATGCCTGTGGGCCCTGGGGCCTCGCTCCTGGCACTGGAAAACCCAACCAGGCCACCTAGGACTTAACCTTTGGAAGAAGATCGTCATCGGCCCTTCTTTTCTGGAAGACAAGCAGCAATCTTTCATTCCTATTATCCGGATTGGTTGTTGATTTGGAAGGGGGGGCGGGAAACATGGCAGAGAAACTAGTCTAAGGAAGCATCCTAGCTTCTCTGTGCTTAATGGTTGTTAGCCCCGGCCTTATCTCACCTCGTTTTTTCTACTAAAGAGAGTGTTAAAGTCAGATACATTTCACCCCTAAATATTCCACTATAGCCTCCTGCATTGTCTTAATACCATTTCACATATCACTAAATAAAGCCTATAAAGTTGCTAATTCATATCCAGCCTAGCTCATAGTTCCCTGTCTGATCCCACAACATCTTCTGCAGCTGACTTACCTAGACCAAGAAAGAGGCAATCAGTGAATCTGCGTCCCATTTGATTGCAGAATTTTTACCCTAAAAGGGCCTCCTTCTCCCCCTTCTTCCTTTTTTGGAATGGCATTGTGTGTTGAAAAAAGCAGGCTGCCTTCTGGATTTGTCTTATGGCTTTTTTGTGGTGTCTTCAACATACTTCTTTCTCAGTATTCCCTGCCTCCTGGAAGTTAGATCTGAGGCTGGATTGGAACCCATTTGCTCTGATGAATGAAGACCATCTGGATTGGGGGGACGGTTTCTGTGCGGGTTTATTTTTGTTCAATCTTTTTTTCCCCCTTTTTTTCTTCCTTCCTTTTTTTTTTTTTTTTTTTTTTTTTTTTGGCACCCGCTGTAATCAGTGGGTCTGTTTAGAAGAACTGGCAGACAGGGATGCAATTTTTCCTGCTGTGGTGGGAGACCGTTGTACTGCCTACACTCTTATTAGGCCAAACCCATGAAGAGGATGGAATGATTAAAGAAAACAGGAAGATGTTTCTCTGCTTTTCTCTATCCCAGAATTCCTCGGTGTTTAGTAAACATGGAGTAAACACTTGATGGGATGCTAGATGGTTTCCTTTGTTGTTTTGATACAAGCCTCCCTACGCAGCCTAGAAAGGTCTCAAATTCGTGGCAGTCCTCCTGCCTTGGTGACTTCAGTGCTGAAACCGGAGATGTGTGCTACCACAGCGAGGAAAACCCTAACTAGAATACTGAAATACTAGAGACACCGGTGCATCTGTATTGCAAGCCCAGTGGAACCGAGGGTTCTTAGAGTTACTCTGTACGAACACACTGTCTGAAGCATCTGCCATGGTGACGGTTTGAGTGAGCAATACACTTGGTCCCTAGCTGTCTCAGAAGGTGCAGCCTTGCTGGTATGTCCCTGGGAGCTGGCTTTGGATGCTTATAGTTGCACCTCACTTCCCACTCACTCAGTTTTCTGGGTGTGGGTGAAGATGTGCTCACTATGGACTCTAATGCCCTGGAATTGTAAGGCAAAAGAAACTCTTCCATAATTGTTTTAGTCGTGGTGCTTTCTCACAGGGAAAAAAAAAAAGTGACTAATACATGCTCTGTAGCCCAGGATGTGAAGTGACATGTCTGCGAAATCTGAACAACTAATATTACCAATTGCCAGATCTTCGATTTTGCCATTGGAAAAGTGCGGGGCAGTAACATCTCAGAAGAATTGTTAAATATGATGGGGAATGTAAAAGTCCAAGAGCATATTTACCATGCAGGAGACCGTAAATTATGGTCTCAAAAAAAAAAAAAAAATCCCTCAGGCACATACACATGTAGCTGGAAGTTTTTGTCTGTTTCAAAAGGTCCCACTGGACTGGTTTCTCTTCAGCCCGCCAGTCCATGCAGCCACTTATTAAATAATCATTCTGAGGCTTAATATTAATTACAATTGTTTGGCCAATGGCTCAGGCATATTACTGAGCAGCTCCCACAATTAAATGGACCCATTTCTATTATTGTATATTTTACCACAATGCCCGTGGCTTGTCACCTCACATCTTGCCTCCCTGGTGGCTACACAGCATCTCCCTGACTTCCCTTTCTTTCTATTGGCATATTTGTTTGGATTTTCCACCTGACTGTATTCTGCCTGGCCATTGGTTAAAACAGTTTTACTCATCAACCAATAAAAGCAACACATATTCACAGCACACAGAAGGACATCCCACTTCATATACATATACACATAAAGTAAACAAATGTTTAAATATATTTTTAAATTAGGCATCAATAATTTTATTGTCTAAGAGAAGTTAGGGTACTTCTCAAAACAAAGAAGAGGGCATGTGGCCCGTGCCTATAGTCCAGCACTCAGGAGGCTGTTGTAGGCTTAGGCAGATCACGACCAACCTGGGCTACAAAATAAGTCCCAGTCTTGGGGAAAGAAAACTTAAATAAGTAAACCAGCAATACAGATGCTGTGTTTTCTATGGGTGAGCAATTAAACACACTCTTCATTTCACTGATGGGAAAGGGGACCCTATTGTGGGTGTTGCATACTGTATGAAGATGCATTTTTGTGATTGATTTAATAAAGAGTTGAACCGCCAGGCAGAAGATATAGACACAGTCTCCGGGCAGAGAGAGGGGGTAGGAGATGAACCTAGGCTCGTGAAGGATCCCAAGGAGACACGGAAGAGTCAGACACACAGAATGGGAGAGAGGTAAAAGCCACACGGTAAAACATACATGTAAGAGCTAGTAGGACAATCGAAGTTAAGGCCAAGCTTTCATAATAAGTTTTCATGTTGTTATTTGGGGAGCTGTCGGCCCAAAGAAAGATCTGACTATAGGCCACGATCTTTCTGGGAACTCATTTGACAATAAATATCAAATGTTACTAAAATGCCCGTGGTCTATTCCAGGAATTCTGTTCCTGGGAATTTATCTCAAAGATATGAGCAAGGATGGAAAGAGGCTGAATGGACACCTGCAGCGGATGCAGACACCCCACCCAAGCCTTCCTTTTTAGGAACATGGGAAGCCCAACACCAACACGGGGAGTGTGGTCAGCAGACACCCACAGCTGCCACACTTCCTGGGAGCCTCTGCAGCAGAAGGCTGCCCCATCTAAGGTCAAGCCCTCCCAGAGCAGCTGTCTCCTATGGTGACTAAACGATCTGAGAGAGCAAAGCTCTGCTGTTTGTTTCTATCCGGTGAGGGACGGACGACGCCAGCTGGTCTTCTTCTGCGGATCCTGGTGTTGGTTGATGCTTCTATGTACCCTACCCACACATCCTCACACTCTCCACTTCACAGGGTCTGATCCCTATTCCTGTCTTGCACCATTAGAACCACCATTTGCTCCGCCCACTGGAGAATTCAAGCTGCGAGAGCCTCAGTGTGATTGGTTACAAAACCAGAATCCCAAAGAAATCAAAGGCACCTATAATGCAGAAGACAGAATAAAAAGAAGTTCCTCCTTCGAGTGAGATACCATGCCACACAGAAAGGGACTTAAAATATATTGGGGGGGAAAAAAAGCAGCTATGGCGGCATGCCCCTGAGTTTCACCTACTTGAGATACTTGAGAGAGCAAAGCAAGAGCCTAGAATTTCTGAGCCCAGAAATTCCAGGCCAGTCTGGAAAACTTTGCAAGATCTATTACAAATACTTAAATTGATTAAATGTATTTCCTAGTAGAAAAAGTTTTGTATATGGCACCTTAAATCAGGGATATATTTTTTTGAGACTGAATCTCATATACCCCAGGCTAGCCTTAAACTTGCCATATAGCCAAGGCTGGACTTGAGTTCCTGGTTTTTGTCTTAGTTTCTCAAATTGTGGGGTTACGGTCATGTGCCAGAATGCCCTGCTAACTCAGCTAATATTTTTTAAATTTATAAATTTTGCCACATAGTACAAACTGGAAAAATTTTAACAATGGCTATACTAAATGGAGGGGAAAAAATACTAACTTCTTTTTATGGGTGTGGGCTGAGACAGGGTTTCTTCGTGTATCCCTGGCTATCCTAGAACTCACTTTGTACCTGCTTCTGCCTCCCAAGTACTGGGATTAAATAACCATGTGCTGTCATGAATTTAAACATCTTTCTTTTCAAAATATTTTGGGTTTTTTTTTTTTTTTTTTTTTTTTTGCAAAAGATATACATTACTTGCAGTTGATTTTATCTATCTATCTATTTTGGCGAGTGGAGGGGCTCTAGATGGGATTTCTCTGTGTAGCCCTAGCTGTCCTGGAA